CGCCTGAGATAGTCACATCTCGAGTGGATGTGGCATCTGATGATCGAGCTCTGCCAGTAGTGGCGGGATATCCGGGGACAGAAGCCATGATTGCGACAGAGCGTGGTGAAGAAGACGGTTGAGAGAAAGTATAATTCTAGAAGATGAGATGCGTGTCTAACATCCTGCAAATCGAGGTTGAAGCTGAGTCACAAACCAAACTACAGGACTGTTGATGATGGAAAGCGGGGAGATAGTTTTATCATCACTCAGTCGTCAACTGGAGGGCGGAATCAATCTAGCGCTTCCTCGGATACGAACCGCGGCTTTCAAGGACGAGGCAAACAGAGTGATGGCCTGAGGAATCACCGACGTCAGGAAGGGTCACGTGAGGCTAAGGGTATCTCGGCCCTCTTGGCATTGATCTTGCACCCGATCACCTCACTGATGGCGGATATGGTAGCATAATGGTGAGTCCCGTGCCTTTAATATCATTTGATGGGGATCGACAGGCCAATCTCAGTGAGAGAAAGAGATAACAATGGATGTACCCAGGCACAAGTACACAGACTGTTGTCCCAGCCATACTCCGGACCCCTGGTAAATTTAGTAGATGTACAAATCTTCGGAGACAGTTCGTGACTTCAATTATCGATTCGCCCATCCTTCCCTAAGACATACATAAAGATTTCCAACCTAAATAACGTTCAAAAGAAGTAATGATAATGTGCATTATATACAAGCTAATGTCCGACAGAAACCGGGGCAGATTTTTCGCGAGCCAAGATTACAATTGACATGCCAAGAGAACGCTGCTCAAAGAAATCGGACCAAATAGAGTGTCACTTTTGAGTCGCCTTACGATCTTTTTCCACTTTCATCAGGAAGAAGATTATGTGTGAGGCTGGATGTCTTTTCAAGCATACATCTCCGCCCAGTTGCGTTTTAGAACCCGCCAGAAACGCCATGGATATCAACAGAAAGATGAAAGATCAGTAAGCAACGTTGCAGAGCCGAAAGCGTCTGCATGATCACTTGTGAAGGTACTCGGGGGCGGTTCTGCTTCTCAGCAGGGCCTTTCTCTCCTTCTCCTTGGCTTCATCGTAGACCAGGAACTCGTGCAGGGCACTACCAGCGGGAACCATGGGGAGCACGGGCACCTTGCGGTCAGTGAAGACCTCAAGCAGGGCAGGACCATCACTTTCGATCAGCCACTTCAGCTTATCCTCAACCTCAGAAGGCTTAGTGCATCGCTCAGCGGCGACACCCATAGACCGAGCCATGGGCACAAAGTCAGGGTTCTTCTGGTGGGTATGTGAGTACCGGTCCTCGTAAAACAGGTTCTGCCACTGTGTCACCATGCCCTGCTCTTCGTTGTTCAACAGGAGAACCTTGACACCGATGTTGAACTGAGCAGCCGTGGTAAGTTCGGTGAGGGTCATGTTGAACGAAGCGTCACCATCGATATCAATGACAAGGCAATCGGGGCGTGCGACCTTGGCGCCGATAGCAGCGGGAAGACCGTATCCCATAGTCCCGAGACCACCAGAGGTAATCATGGTACGGGGATGGCGCCAACGGAAGTGCTGGGCGGCCCACATCTGATGCTGACCGACACCAGTAGTAATGATGGTGCGGTCTTTGATGGGGGCGGTGAGATCGCTGAGTTTCTCAATCAAAGCCTGAGGCTTGATGGGGCCCTCCGGGGTCTGCTTCTCGTAAAGAGAGAAGGGGAAGCGGGCTTTCCAATCGTTGATCTGAGCAAACCATTCTGGTCTTTCGGGGACCGGCTTGACATGGGGAAGCAGGAGGCGAATGTTCTCGGCACAGTCGCCCTCCACAGCCTCGTTGGCTTGAACAACCTTGTTGATGTTCTTGGGCATGATTTCGAAGTGAACGATACCACCACGGTTCTCGGAAGCAGCCAACTTGGCCTGGGGAGCGAACTTGAAGAGGTTACCAGTCACACGATCGTCAAAACGGGCACCGACGGCAATAATCAAATCAGCTTCCTGCATAGCCATGTTGGCGTAGGCAGATCCGTGCATTCCCAGCATGTGAAGAGCCTTGGGATCAAGCTCATCAAAGCCTCCGAGACCCTGCAGAGTGGTAGTGACAGGAATACAGGCCTTGTCCGCCAATTCCTTCAGCACTTTAGGACCATCTGGGTGAGCGAGAAGACCCTGGCCTACATACAGGACGGGCTTCTGGGCAACGTTAACCAGGCGGGCGACACGATCAATGCTGTTCTCGAGCTGCTTCATGCTGAGCTCACGAGCAGCCATGGTAGCAGCACTGGGGAGGGAAGGAATGGTGCTGTTCATGGGAATGGGCTTCCGAAGGATACCAGCGGTGATGTCCTTGGGAAGATCGACCAAAACGGGTCCCGGGCGACCGCTGGTTGCAATCTCGAAGGCCTCCTGGATCCGACGAGGGAGCTCGGCAACAGACTTGACCATGACATTCCATTTGGTGCAGGCTCTCGAGATACCGATGACATCGGCCTCCTGGAAAGAATCGGTACCGATCGAGCTAGTGGGAACCTGACCACAGAAAACAACCATTGGGGTACCGTCAGAAAGGGCGTCCTGCATAGGTGTAATAACGTTGGTGGCTCCTGGTCCGGAAGTAACAAGGACAACACCGGGCTTTCCAGAAGCACGTGCATAACCTTCGGCCATATGTCCGGCACCTTGTTCATGGCGAGGGAGAACGAAGTCAAAGTGCTTAGAGTTGTAGATGGCATCGAACACGGGGAGGATAGCACCACCGGGGTAGCCGACTAGTTCGCGAGTTCAGTTATACCGTCCTGTGGATGGGGACTTGACAAGAAGATGGTATGCGAGGGATGACTCACAGATGTGCTTAACACCAAGTCGGAGCATCATCTCGTGGAAGATCTGTCCACCACTAAGACCGACAAACCTGATCATCGAGATAATTAGACGTTTTCTGAACAATCAATTGAGGTGACGCCTGTGAATTGACATACGAGTCGTCCAGCTCGGGTAGCTGTCGATTTTGCAGAGGTGAGACTTCATTGCGATGTGGCTCCTGGTTGAAGGCGGGGCTAGGGATAGATCTTGAATTTCTAAAGCATTGAGATGTCAATATCTGTCGGCAAGAACTTTCTGGGAGTCTTATTCCAGAGAGAAAACTCACGAAGCCGGAGCTGTTGCAGTGCTCTGGTTGCGCTTTTGAGCAGAAAAGCGGTGGGGCGAAACAGTACCGGCCACGGACGAAGAGGTGAAAGGTCTTCTACCGGCAGCAATGTACTTCTGGTAGTGGAAGGAGCGCAGAGCGCTTTTTGATGGTCTTAGAGGCATCATCTTGATGGCGGATGACTGCCAGGCCAAAATAAGAGAGGAATGGAGGGTTTGGAGAGAGGAGAGAGGAGAGGAGATGGAATTGCTGGACCGGAAATTCCACAAGGGAAAAAGACGCCCAAAAGAGGCCGAGTGAAGAGTCAGACTTCGGGGAGAGCGTCTGGACCAGCTAACCGACAACGGCCTAGCACAGTCTAAGACCAATCACCTCGAGGCCATTATTGGACAGCGACTCCGATGTTCGGCGTCCATCCGTTCGTTTGTACATCACCTGATTGGCAGCATCCTCGGGTCCATGTCGTTTACTCATAATGCGGAGTATGTACGGAGACGGAGTACAAGTACGGAGTACTTTGACTCTTGCTCATACGCAGCTTGATGCTTGTCTACATATCACCTGGGAACATGTACACTTATCCCTGGCCATACAGGCCGAATTACGGAAGACAATTGACAGACGCACGCAATATATCGCTGGTACAGCCAGCTTAGCTTTGGAAATTCTTTGCACACCAACCATAACCTGGAGGAACGAGAGTCACCGCATTGATCAATTGAATTTCTGTCTTTCTGTGTGCGGCTTACCGTTGGCAATACATAGAATTAGCACTTTCGAAGGGCATGCTGGTGGTTCAGCATCGTGAGCTCGAGGATATGTGGCCTTCTGCGTCGAATATGTCGAAAGCTGTAGCCCTATTGACATTGAGTGTCACTCGACGTCTATGGCCCTTGGTCATTCTTGAGCTTGTAATGATTGTAACGGCAAAAGCCATGTTCCGAGAAGTGTTCAAAATGCCACGACAACTGATGAGCTGCGAATATGCTCCTCAAGACGGAATTGTGCAGAACCGCTGCATCAGCGGGGTAGATGCCTGCCTGGGTGTTCCTCGCGGATTCATGGCATCAGGAGAAGCCTTTTGGTTGCATGAAGGTATATCCATATCCACCACTGCTTCAATCCATTGAAAGCCACAAATGTACATCCTAGGTACTCGACCGTTAATAACTGAAGTTCGGGTCTGCGTCTCGAGCATGAGAATGTATTGGCCAATGCTACTCACCGACGCGAAGCTCGTTTCTTACTCAAGGGTTACAACTTCAGGATATTAGACATGCAGTCCAATATCAGGCCAGGCCATAATAGTTTAACATAGCACCGGTGCGGCCTGGTCATTCACCCAAAGTGGATCAATGTCTGACTAGGTTGAGCTACTCGGCGTAGCTACCGAATACCTTCTTCGAGCCCCGCATATCAGCTGTCATCGATAATTTCGCAGGTTGATTGATCGCTCCTCAGTAGTATTGAGTATCGGGGCCAATATATTTATAGGGCTCTTTCCGGCTCTTATAGCCTGAAGTACCTTCATGGTCATAGAGAATGAGCAAGCGCATGGTCTGACTTGGGTCCAAATAGGGGCAGAAGTGAACAGAGAGAAGAGCCTCTTCCACATCGTGGTCACCTTTTCTTGCCATGTACAAGCTTGCCAATGCCTCTAACGCCAAGCCGAATAATGGCTTCGATGTCGTTGATCCAGAGTTCTATTCGCTCTACGAGGGAAGCTTGAAAATCATCTTAAGCCTTGATGGGTACAAGCTTATTGGAGGCAATTACAAGAGATTTGGTTCAACTAAACAACAAATGTGAAAATCAGGAATTTACAACATGTCATTCTCTTCATTACTAATCTGTCTTGTTTAAAAAACAGGGTCCACAATTTCCCTAAACATCTGCGAGGTGATTATAAAATCCCTTTCAGTGGGACCAGGGGGCCGTTCGTACAGGGCCTCAAAAGGAAGAATCATGGGATCATCAGTGACAGTAGTCTCTGTCACTATCACTTCGTGCGCGGAGTAGGCGTATCGGTTAGGAGGAGCTTGCGTGACGGTTGGGGAGTGCTGCGCCGGGTTCGCCCTCAGCTGGTTGATGTACGCTCGTGTGACTGGCCTTGGGGCATTCTGCGGAACGAGCTGCCACTTTTCAAATTTGACATAGGCTCGTCCTATAACTATCACAATGACGATGCGGACATCACCTAAGGAGTTCGCGAACCACCACTTCGCATCAGCCTGAAGCTTGGTATACGATTCACTGACTCCGGTTTCGATGACCAGAGTAGGCCATCCTCGGATGCTCGCATGACGTGGCCGACGGGAGCCTGGGACGAAAATCTGGTCCGCCTGTTTTCCTGCTGCAGGCTGGGGTTTGTAGGTGGTGGTACCACCCCAGGCTCCATCGGTCATAGGAGTTCCCATGGCTGATAGCTGGTCAGTGATAACGGTAACAACGTTCATGGTAGTAAACTCAGGTGCAGCAGAAGGTTGGATCTTGATTATTCCAACAGAGCCGTCCCATTGAAACCGGTAGGTGACTTCAAGACTGGATTTGTCATTATCAAGTCTCTCAATAGCTGGCTTGGTCAGGCCACGGACAACAAGGAACTGGTTGCCCTGGTCTCCGTTCTGTATTAGAGTATTCAGGACATGGAGTGCGTCTTGCTTTAGCTTTTTCATCTGGGTGAATGTCCGAGTTTCATATCCAGCGGGCAGTGCTTCAAATATGTCGTGCTCCATAGTCTAGTAGAGGTACGGAGTAGAGCTTGATGTTTTTGCGCCGATCTCTCCCTCCTAAGCTGCATGCTAGGGTCTAAAAAAGGCTGAAGAAGTCCCGAGGAGACGGAGAAGTAAGCGAAACGGAGTAGTGAGTAGACAAAAGTACGGAGGAGGAATGGGATAATCTCCAGACTGATTTCAACTTGAGATGCGTCCAGTTTCTTGAAGCCCAAGGTCACCCAGTGGGAGCCACGTGACATCCGGGGCACTGATGCTGGCCTTACTGCCCGTCATTTCTGGCATCCCCGCCCTAGTAGGCTAGCATCCAAGGCATTAGAGAGGTATTCACTGTGAGTAGTAGTAGGTAGTAGTAGGTGGTAGTAGTAGTAGTAGTAGTAGTAGTAGTAGTAGTAGTAGTAGTAGTACGGACTACGGAGTACCCCTCTAGGGCTTGATGTTGTTTGCGCCGATCTCCTCCTAAGCCGCATGCTAGGGTAGGAACGGGATAATCTCCGGGTTGAATTTAACCGAGATGCGTCCACTTTCTTGAAGCTCAAGTTCCACACGACAACGAATTTCACCCAGTGGGAGGCACGGGACCTGGGCCTGCTGGCCTTGCAGTTGCTGCCGATCATTTCCGGCATCCCCGCCCTCCTAGTAGCATCCACCTCCAAGGCATTATTCTTGAGGCATCGCCGTGTCAAAATGTCCCGCGATTATTTTGTGGTCTCTGCCCCTCCCCACATTTCCCCCCTATGACATAGATTAGGATGGTAGTTTTCCCACCCAGGCACTCAAGCAATAATTTTGTGTGTCAGGTAGAGAGGTACACATATTTTTCTTTCTCTGCTCTCTTCAACTTCCATCTTGCTTTTCTTCTTTTCCCCGAACACCACCTCTGACGTCTTTCCCCTGATCTTGCACTCAGCTACCCCGCCATGGCAACCCCCCAGGAACTCGTGCCTCAAACAGACTCCATAGCTGAGGTCTACGCTACAGACGATGCCTCTGCTACCTCTGCTGCCTCCGAGCACCAGTTACGATTCAATGGATTGGTTTCTCAGTTCAACAAATTATACGGCCATCGCCCAGATTTCGTAGCACGCAGCCCTGGCCGTGTCAACATCATTGGAGAGCACATCGACTACAACCTGTACGACGTCCTCCCAACAGCTGTAAGCGTCGACGTGATTATCGCTGTCAAGGTGGTTCCTCCCGCTGGCTCGGAATCATTTGTCAAGATCTCCAATGTTTCACCCGAAAAGTTCCCCTCTCGCGAATTCACCGTGCCTCGGGATACCGATATCGAGATTGACCCCAAGAAGCATGAATGGGTGAACTACTTCAAGGCTGGTCTGGTGGGCGCGTTGAAGTTCCTGCGCAAGCAGAAGGCTGATGGCTCGTTTACGCCAGCGAGCTTCGAGGTCTTGGTGGATGGTAATGTGCCTCCAGGCGGTGGTATCTCCAGCAGCGCGGCCTTCGTCTGCGCAAGTGCGTTGGCCGTTATGAAGGCCAACAACCACAATGTTTCGAAGCAGGACTTGCTCGACCTGGCTGTTGTTTCGGAGAGAGCCGTTGGTGTCTACTCGGGAGGGTAAGTCATGAACCGCGGTGACATGTCGTATTGTGATCTAACTAGCGTCATGCTGTAGAATGGACCAAGCGGCTTCCATCTTCTCACGTCGCGGATATCTTCTCTATACCCAGTTCTACCCTAATTTTGCCGTTCAGCATGTCCCCATTCCCAAGGCGGATGAAGAAATCACTTTCCTCATGGCCCAGAGCTTCGTCACATCAAACAAGGCCGAGACGGCACCCCGTCACTACAACCTGCGCGTGGCCGAATGCACTCTCGCCGCTGTGGTACTGGCCACGCAGCACGGCATCACCTTGGCCAAGGACAACAGCTCGCTGGGATACAGTCTGCGCAACTTCCACGAGGAATTCATGCGCAAGGAGGGCCGCCTCGGGGATCCACTAGAATACCAGATCGACTCCGTGATCCAGTCCACTATGGAGCTCCTGACCCAGGAGCAGGGATACACCCGGGAAGAGATCGCTAAGCTCCTCGGCATCACAGTCCCTGAGCTCGAGGCCAAGTTCCTTTCCGCATTCCCGGTCCAGGCGGAGCGCTTCCTGCTCCGCCAGCGTGCCCTGCACTGCTTCAAGGAAGCCCGGCGCGTGCTCGACTTCAAGGCCTGCCTGGCCAAGGCCCACACCCTGGACGAGAGGCGCATCCACTACCTGGGCCAGCTGCTGAACGAGTCCCAGGAGTCCTGCCGAACGGACTACGACTGCAGTGCCCCGGAAGTCGATGAGATCTGTGCCATCGCCCGGCGCGCCGGGACCTGGGGAAGTCGACTTACCGGCGCTGGCTGGGGAGGTTGCACGGTCCACATGCTGCCGCAGTCTAAGGTCGAGGCCGTCACCAAGGCCTTGAAGGAAGAGTATTATCTGAAGAAGTTCCCGGATATCAGCGAGGAGAAGCTAGCACAGGCCATGGTTATCAGCAAGCCTTCTAACGGATCCTTCATGTATGTATACCCCTTGTCTGGATAATGTCTTTACGGTTCCAAGCGAGGACGTTGACTGACTGACTGCTTTCCACCAGGGTTACGGGAGCTGCCATCGCCAATGTCAAAATTTAGGAGATATGTGTCACAAGAAAGAAAAGAAGGAATTGAGCGATTCTGTAATGTTCACATTGATCTCTATGTTGATTGGGTTGCCCCCATCAAAATCCAGATTCACGAGTATATAATACATAAGTGTCTGTGACATCTATTGAAGCTAGGCATGATTTGAGTATGATTCCTTATATCTGACAATTCGGCACAGAGTCCATGCGTTCGGACAGCGACCGGTCGATACGTTGCATGGGTGGATCTGGTTGTGTAGCAGTATTGTCCTCAACCAACAGAAGGGTGTGGACTGCAAGCATGAGGGCGAATCATGCTTGGAATATTGCGCTTGTGAGGCCTAAAAGCTTGCCTTGGGACTGAAATATAGGACCCACGCTTGGTCTAGCGCTTTATCAGACTTCTCGAAGTCCGTACCAAGGAATGGCTTTCTTCTGGCTTTGCGGATGACTGAGGCTCTACCTTCCGTCACGTCACCTGCTGGGAACATTGTCGCGGTTGAAGCAGCTATTCAATCGTTGCGATAAAGCGAGAAAAACTCAAGATTTCTTCTTGGGCGCTGCTTTGGTGAAGAAATCACTCATCTTCTTCATTCCCGTAGTATTGACCTTCTTCAGGTCTCTCACACCGCGGGATTCTCCGGCCTTCTTCTTCTTCTCTTCCTCTTCTTTGCGGCGCTTTTTCTCGGCGCGGGACTCTGCAGCTTCGTCATCGTCCGCACCGCGCTTGCGGCTGAAATCCCCGAGCGATCGAGATGCGAGCGCTTGCGCCCGCAGCTCGGCTATATGCTGAAGATGATCTTGAAGTGGTTTGAAATCCACGGGTGTTTGAGGTGTAGCAAGTAGCTCATCTAGTCTAGCGCAAAGTGGCGGGGAGATATATGATTCCTTGATGAAGGAGAGGACGGTGGAGATTCTCAGCAGATGGGCCATATTGTCCGTGGTGGCGGATTCCAGAATTGATTCAGCGGAAAGTTCTGTGGCAGGCGTTGAGACACCTGAGGGTGTTGAGACAGAGGCAGTCGTTGTTGATTGTGTTTCCTGTTTATCTTGGGACTCTCCTTCGCCGTCATCAGAAGATGACGACGTGCCTTTGATGATGGTCTCCTCACGTTTGACAGACATCAAGGGTGTAACCAGTGCTTGATGCACAAATCGCTCCTCCAAGCTCGCTGGAAGGCCCTGAGCCACCATGCGCTCCGCTTTAGCGATCAGTTCCTGGAGAAGTTTGACCTCGTTGAAGCGGAACATTTTCTCATCCCCTGCCACGACCGAGTCACATACCGCCTCGACTCGCGATTGCAAGACACTGCGGAAATCCTCATTGTAGAGTAGGTGCCGTAGATGACTGGGCAAATAGTCCTGCGAATCAATGATATCGTCGAGCGGCTGGAAAAGCCTTTTGGCATGGGTCGATGTGGTTGGGGCCAGCAGAGGTATCATGAAGAACATGACATCAATTGGCGTTGCAACACACAGTTCGGCGAATTTGGAGATAGTCCCCGTGGCTTGGAAGCGTTCACCCTCGCTATTGGAAGTTTTTGTGTTCGTTTTGGAAGTGAAGAGTATACTCCGTGGAAACTGCGGCGTAGACCCTACGACGGTAAACTCGTATATGCCAAGTTTCGGGCAGAAGAAATAGCGATTGGGCTCTCCAGTTCGCGGATTGGGCAATTTTAGAAATCTGGCATCATCACTTGCAGCTGAAGGGAGAATAAATGTCTTGCTAGGAGTCTGCGCTGTAGTCGGCGCTTTGAGATTCTTTTGTTCAGTCTCGGGCTGCTCAGATGGAGCAGTTGATCGCGTTCGCATTTCGGCGGTATATCTCGAAGACGAAGTATCTATTAATTCGATATCGCTACTTCACATCGCAAGACAATAGACAGTTGGTAGAAAGAGCGCGTACAAGCTTGCTGCGTGATGGAAGCTCCAAGGGTTGCTCTCAACGCGTCGGAGCTTCAGTTTAATTTCCGTTTTGCAGACGCGACACGCGCAGGACCTCCTCGGCCAATCAGCGCTGTTGTTGCACACAACCAGTCACACTGCAGCAGAAGAATCAATTTCTCGTCTTGTGCCTTGCTGATGACAGGGGATCATCATAACAAAGAAACTTTTTGTTTTTGATTTTGGAACACGGAGTATTATTGTTATTGTTGGCTCACTGGATTCTTCAGTTTCTTGGTGTCCTCACGACCGGGCTCTCAATTCCAGATTCGACTTGGCGCTTTGATTCCATCCCCGCATCCCTACTTGAGCTGTCGAGATACCAACATACCATGGCCACGGTCAGCCAAGGAGCGTAAGAAACAGACGGTGACACAGTCACTCTGCCTTTATCGATACCACTTGACTGGGAGAAAGTCAGCAAGTAGATGTTGCCATG